TGGCTATAAATACACAGATTTATTTTTAGGTTCTCTAATCCAGGGGTACCCAACCTATGGTGAGTTGTATAATTATTTCATTATATATTGCAGTGTAATAATAATAGGAATAAAGTGCATAATAAATGTAATGCACTTGAGGCAGGGTGTGGTGGCTCACACTGTAATCCTAGCACTCTGGGAGGCTGAGGCGGGAGGATCACTCAAGGTCAGGAGTTCAAGACCAGCCTGTGCAAGAGTGAGACCCCGTCTCTACTAAAAATAGAAAGAAATTAGCTGCACAACTAAAAATACATAGACAAAATTAGCCGGGCATGGTGGCGCATGCCTGTAGTCCCAGCTACTCAGTAGGCTGAGGCAGAAGGATTGCTTAAGCCCAGGAGTTTGAGGTTGCTGTGAGCTAGCCTGACGCCATGACACCCTAGCCCAGGCAACAGAGCAAGACTCTGTCTCAAAAAAAAGAAAAATGTAATGTACTTGAATCATCCCGAAACCATCTCCCCCCACCCTGCCCTGCTGCCCCTAGTCTGTGGAAAAATTGTCTTCCATGAAAATGGTCCCTAGTGCCAAAACCGTTGGGGACTGCTACAGCCTAATCTGTTCCATTGGCCTATGTGAAAAGTGTTTCATCTTGTTTTACTGATTATTGAGAGCATCCTCTGTAGTGAATGGATGTCTCTGTGTGTTTAGGCTCAGCAAGGCAATTAAGAAGACCTCAAAGTCAGCCATCACAAGAGACCTTATATACTAGGAATAGGCATACATTAGTATTCCTGCCATGCTCAGACATTTGCTGGGAGTAGCCCCTGGGAAGCATGAACTGGCACAAATGCAATGATGAATTTCAGAGTGCAGCAGCTGGGGCCCTTGGTTAATTACATTCCCTGTAGTCCTATAGTTACAAGTCTGCAAAGTGCATTCTTACGGCCACATGTCCTTTGGTGAGCATTCACCTGGAGCACAGTTATCTTTAATTCTCTGCCTGTTTTGAGAGGTCCATTTACATATCTCTCCTCCAGACCTTCTTGTCACTTTTCTTTAAAGCTATTCTTTCCAATTCCCTTACCATCCATCAAACCATTAGTAACTCCTCTTGACTACTGTAGTTTAGATCTATACTTCTGGATATTGCTCAGTTTGGTCATAGTAGACAACAAAATGTACTGCTCAGAATTCTCCCTAGGAACATTTCCCTTCATTAGAATCTTTCAGAGACATACCTGATTGGGGTTGTAATGCTACAACAGTTTTTGCAGCAACTAGCTCATACTAGCATATTTGTCAGAATAAACCATAAACCAGGTCTAAGTTTCTTCCTCCTACTCAGCTGGTCATAAGGATCTCCCCATGCAGCCAAGGTTATGGATTGAGAAAAAAGAAGCCTTACGGCAGAAGTAGGAGTCAAAAGAGTTAAGCCACCTTCTTAGGCAACTTGCTTGTGCTTTCCAAATCTGCTTAATTTCTGTCTCTTCTGTACCATTTCTATTTGATAATAGATTGCTGCTGTGCAGACTCCAATTTATGGCTTTCCAGATCAGATAACACCCATTCCCATGGTTAGGTGCTCACTCTTAACAGGGCCTAGTAACAAACCAGAAGCTATTTTTCAAAAGGATAGTTATCTACAGAAGAGGGTATGGATTTTCTCCAGAACCTTGGAGGTCAATGCTTCAGTTCTATTGGCATTTTCCAAAGGCTTCATAAAGAATCTCTATTTACCATATTCAAGTGTCATTCAATCTACTGGGTCTTAAGCACCAAGTGGCAGAGTAGCTGTTAATAGCACTACCACCTGGACTTGCTGCAGAGCCTTTTTGTGTTTTGGTCTACACTAAAAACTAGCAGTCTATGGTTGCTTGGTAAATGGGTCAGGGCAACACCACTCAAATGTGGTATATGTTGCCTCCGAAAGACAAAAAGCCCTGTACATCTGCTGTAGTGGTAGGTAATGCAAGGTACAGCAACTTGTCTTTTACCTTGAAGAGGATATTACAACATGCTCCAGACTATTAGCTCATAGGAAACTTAACCAAGGTTGTGAGTCCCTGAATTTTTGTGGTGTTTATCTCTCATATTCTCTGACTCACATGCATTTTAGTAAGACTCTGAAGTACTTGCTACTATCTTGTAAGATCCAGTCTGCATAATATCATCAATTACTCCGTGAAATGTCAAGATGATCAAGATCTCTGCAGACTACATTTTAGCAGTCAGTAAAATGATGTAGCCCTAAGGCAAGTCTGTGAAGGTGGTCTCTTGGCTCATCCAGGTAAAAACAAACTGCTTCTAGTGGTCATTACAAATTGGTATAGAGAAAAAAACAAAACAAAACATTTGCCTGATCACTAAGATTCTCTGAGTCTTTGGATTCTTTTCTCCACATTACACCAGGAAGTTCTGGGATTCTCAAACTCGTTATATGTAGTTCACTGTTTAGTCCAAGTTTCTGTCAACCAAGTAAGTGAATTCTTAATACAAGTTAGCTCATTAAATCCAGAATCCCTAATAATTACGCCCATATCAGTAAATTTGGCCTGTTATATTTCTGCCTTCTTTGGGCTAACGCTCTTAGAATCCCATTCCCACACATATTCATCAGGTTTTTGCCTATATAAATTAGAAAAATCTTGCAGTTATTTTTGATTATGAAATCTTTCCTTCAAGATCAGACTTTGTACTTGTTCCCTTGGTATATGCTGACTTTGACCCTCGTTTGGGGTCTGGTGGCAACAAGGAGTAGTTGGGATATGTCTTGAAGAACATAGGCATCTCCTTGAAAGGCACCTGCCTCAGGTGAGATTATTACAGAATCTTCAAGCAAAGGAAGGCTAATCTCAGACATGGAAAGTGAAGGCAAAGAAGACTCAGAGGCTAAGATTTTCAGTTTCATCCATGTCCACACAGATGTCCTCATTTGAAGTCTCGGGGACACTTTCCCAGTCCTCACCCTAACTTTCACGGAGAGATCTAGTCTACAAATTCAACTTACATTTAATTCTGCAACACTCAGAATTAAATACTGTCTCTGAATTTCAGCAGGTTGTTCTTGCAGCTACAAGGGATTTGAGATACTTTTAGGACTGTTATGGGTGCTATCTAGTTCTGGGACTTGAGCTAAGATTTGAAAGAGCTGAGTGTGACATTTTCTTTCTGTAAGCACTCCAATGCACTCAGAAGATGGCATTCCACCACACAGTCCTTATAGTTGTCATTATTCCCAGCAGCGACTTGGGCCCCCAAGATACCTGCTTCAGGGGGCTCTTTATCACAATAATCTACAGCCGATAATTTGAATAACCAGTGCCACTCCATGCCATGGATTACCAGCATCCTAGTTCCATGACAAGGGGCTCAACATTGCATTCAAGTCTAAAGAAAGATGCAAACACTTCAAGAATTCCATCTCTGAGAGTCCTGATAGCAATTTCTTCATCATTCAGCAGAAAGCAACTATACCAGTTACTCTCACAGAGAGAATTTATAGATATATTAACCAGGTATTGGAGAGCTGGAAAAGTTAAAGAAATACTGTTATAAATGCACAAAGCAGATACCATCCCTATGGCCAGGTGAACATGGAAAATAATTTGGGATTATTAAAACACAGAATCTTGGATGGAGGGTCCCACAGAGCTGAGACAGAGAGAATCTGCCAGCTGATACTCGTTGTCTGAAGAAGTGTAATGATTCTGGTTCTGGGGTTGTGGGAAAAAAATGAACCAGTTGCTCGTATAGGAAATAATTGTCATTGCAGGGGTGAAGGAACTGTTGCTTGGTGATCCTGACAGTAACAGGATCAAAACAAAAAGGACCAAGTTCCTTGACACTCTAGATTTCCAGTCTTCCTCTAGTGCCCCCTGTTGGCAGACTAACAGAAGGCCAGCTGGCAAAGGAGAAATGTGATTTGCAAAGACTCTGACGTCACCATAGCCGAGTTTGGAGCTGAGAGACTACGGCTTAAAAACTGTAATAACTGTGTGTGTGTGTGTGTGTGTGTGTGTGTGTGTGTGTGTATGTGTGCACGCCTACATTTTCTGAGTCATTTTAAAGTGAGTTCCCAATGTTACATGTCTTCACCCTTACATCCTTCAGCATGCATCTCCTAAAAGTAAGGACAATATCTTATATAACCACAAAACCATTATAATATTGCATAATACTCAGACCATATCAAAGTTCCTCCAACTACACCCAAAATATTTTTATTCCTGAAATTTCAACTACCCTTCTATTTTTTCATTACATTAACATTTTGAAGAGTGTCTCACTCACTGAACTGATTATTTTATTTTATGCCATTTTATTTAGTTCCACTATTCTAGAAGTTTTCTGCTAATCAGAGGTTAGGTCTACAGGCTTGGTTAGATTCAGGTTAGTATCATATTAGTGGGTACATAATGTCAGGTTGTTACACCTTTGGTAATGCTAAATTTGCTTACTTGGTTAACAGAGTGGCCACCAAATCTCTCCATTATAAAGCTATGTTTTTCCCTTTGAGCTTTCTTTAGAGTGTGTTTTATTTTTAATCTGTAATACATGCATATGGTAAATTGCAACAATACAGTGAAAGCTGTGACTCCCGTTACATCTCCCAATTCCATAATTCTCCTCCCCAGAGGCAGCTACTGCTACCAGGTTATGTATCTTTAAAGAGATGGTTATGCAATATACAGTGTGTGTGTGTGTAACATTTTTTTTCTTCACAATGTTAGCATACTAGACACATTCTTGTATGCTTCAAGATTTTTAATTTACTGTGGGTAAATTAAATTTACTGCATGTAAATTAAGTGGATGAGGTATATAGAGCTAAGTGTTTTCTGAGTGTTAAAGTAAATGTGTAGAAGTCTTTTGAAATACAAGATTTAGAGAAATTAGTCTCCATCTACTTCAAAACAGCTAACAGGCAAAGTATCTCTTTCCAGCCACTAGCTAAATCTCATTTATGCAGTTTAATCATGTTTCATTTCCTTAATCTGAGATTTTTACTTTTCTTTCCAGCCAAAAGGCAGAAATGAATCCTTTATTTCTCATATTCCCTCACAAAATTATGCTGGCAAAATGTGGCAAAGCTTGTTTCTAGACTCATTTCATATACTACTTTCTCAAAGTTTGATTCTACAAAGCAGAAGCCTCTAGACCGTCTTAGCAGAGCATTTTCTTAAAATCAAATGTTTGTTCATTTCTGATCCACACACTGAGTTGAGAAACCTCATCAAGAGCTTTTTGCATCAGATTCCAAAATGAAGTCTCTCCAGCTGAGGCCCTTCAAGTTACATCTGGAAGCCAGTTGGAACTTTTCTGGGTCATTTCCCGTTGAATGTAAGTGGTGTCTATTTTGGTCTGATTTCATTTGTACTGGGACTCTAGTTGTCTCAAGGCTTTAACTTTCCTGAAGCCTTAGGTAAGAAAAGCCTCTCAGAACTCTCTGGTTCTTCTCTTCCTTCGCATGAAAAGTACTCTGCTTTTTGAAGCTGTCTGCCACCCCATAGGTCCCAAGATTTGAGTAATCCCAACTCTGCCCCTCATTCAGTGTGTAACCTTAAGAAGATGGCCTGCCACTGTGCCTCAGTTCCTTCAGCTGATAACGGGGGAAATACTCGTCCGAAATTTGGAAGATGGAGCTAAGTACTATTTTAAATGTTTTTTTTAAAAGAAAGTATATAATGTAAGGTGGTTACTGTTATTAACTGTCCAAACTTTCTGCCATATCCTCAGATCCAGCCAGTAAGAGCAAAGGAAGAATTTTCAAAAACTATAATGCAGCATACGCTTTTATTTTTTATTTTATTGAAGAAGGAGTGTTGAATAAGTAACATATTCCCATGGTTTTAAAAATCAAATAGTTCCCAAAAACATACAGTGAAAAATAAGTCTTTCTCACACCACTGTTTTCTAGTTCCCCTCTCCAGAGACAACTTCATGTGTTACAATTTCTTACTTCCTTCCAGAAATAGATTATGCTTTTATACTCATTCATGTTTGTGTGTTTTCCTCCCCTTTTCTATCTTTTTTTAAATTGAATAGTAGCAAAATATACACATGGTTCTGCCACTTATTTTTCTCACTAAACAATATATCTTGGAGATAATTCCATACAGTACATAGAGTTCTGCCTCTACGTATGTATGTGCATTGATTTATTAAATCAGTTCCCTATTGCTGTTCATTTAGATGGTTTCCAGTCTTTTATTAGTTTAAACAAGGTTGCAATGAATATCCATATGTAAACTTTCAGAATAAGTTCCTGGAAACAGAACTGCTATATATTTTTTGAATTTTTATAAATCTGCAAGCTTTATTTGGAGTTTGATCTTGTTTCATTCTAAGTGACACAGTACACAGAGCAGCCAACATTTCCTTTAACATTGTAGTCTTTTAACCTAAGCTATTTTGATCTTTTCCCTCAAACGACATTACAACAGTGAGTATAGTTCCCCAGCTTTGCTGTCTTAGAAGTCTGTGGAATGGCAACAAGTCCTCCCTATAACAGCTGTCTCCCCAGTACTGCCACGTTATTGAGACCCCGTCAGGAATGATCTCACTCTGGAGAACTTCACAGCTGCAAAGCCCCTTGTTGAAAGTGAGCATCTGACAACTTGGGTCTTGGCCATCAGCTGTTTGGAATGATTCATCAGTAGTTTTTAAACATTTGTTGTACCAAAATTGGAGAAAGGGTTGAAAAATGGCAAAAAAAAAAAAAAAAAAAAGCCTACATTTTAATAATGGATGTAAGTCAAAAGATCTTGAACTCTCTCTGCATCTTGGCTCCACAACTATCAAGTCACTGATAAGAGGACTCTGGACCTCTTTGTTTTTGTGTGTGAAATGAGGGCCATGGACCAGATTATTTCTCAAAACCTTTCCTTTTTTGAGATTCTGAAGATTCAGATGCAGCATAGAGGGTACTTGTCCTCTCAATTTCACCATTTTCAAAAACCAAAAGATGACACAAATCAGTGCATGATTACTATCCAAGTAGGTGGTACAACTGAGAAGGGATCTAAATCTAACGGTGGTGTGCAGGTGAACAGGCTGGGGAGTGGGGTGAAGGGAAGACAGCCCAATTGCATTTCCCAGTTTTGGTATAATTACTCCCACTGTGATGATTTCAAGCTACCAACATGACCTCACTGAACTCAGAGTTGGGAGGAGAAGCACAGAATTGGCTGCTGAGATCCAGCAAACCACTAGTTAAGAATTCTGAGAAAGCATTTTCTTCATACTGTTCTGTGTTGAGAGAACTTCAGGAAAGAAGAGAGATATGAACAAGGAATTGAAGGATATTGCATTAGGACTCTTTCCATGGTTACTGACAGAGACAGTTCAAACTAGCTTAAAGAAAGAAAGAAAAAGAATATGAGAATGTGACTGTTTTAGTCCAAGTATCTGAACAAAGGGTTTAATAACGTAGTCATTGCATTCTCTCCACCTTTCAGTTCTTCTTGAATCTGCTTCTATTTATGTATTGATGTCATTGGCTCCTGCCGTTAAAGTAGGCTCTCTCCACGTGGCAGGAAAATACAGCTTCTGGCAGCACAGAATTATATCTTTGTAGTTAACAATTCAGAAGAAAAGCAACAACTTTTCATGGAGAACACATGGAAAGACTTACTGATTGGCTCACTTGGGTCTAATGCCCACCCTTTTGACTCTCAGAGTCTCACTCTTGCCTGGGCTAGAGTGCCGTGGCATGAGCCTAGCTCACAGCAACCTCAAACTCCTGGGCTCAAGCAATCCTCCTGCCTCAGCCTCCCGAGTAGCTGGGACTACAGGCATGTGCCACCATGCCCGGCTAATTTTTTCTATACACTTTAAGTTGGCCAATTAATTTCTTTCTATTTTTAGTAGAGACAGGGTCTTGCTCTTGCCCAGGCTGGTTTCAAACTCCTGACCTTCAGTGATCGCCTGCCTTGGCCTCCCAGAGTGCTAGGATTACAGGTGTGAGCCACAGCGCCCGGCCCATTTTTACTCTTACCCGGGCAGAAAAGGAAAGAGTATGTAATTCATACGCCTCTGCCTCTGTGGCCAGAGGGCAGGCAGAGCACTTGGATGGACCACTCTTTCCTTATGGCCCAAAACACATGAGAGTCATCCAAACAGAGTTCCCCGGTAGAAAAACGTTCAGCTCTAATAGACATATGGGTAAGACTTTGTGGAGAGGCAAAAGAGCAGATACAAATCAGAGGGAACCACATATCTGGAGATGAAGAAACATAAATGTTGAAGGTGCATTTGAGAATCAGAAAGAGACCACTCTGACCAGAGCAGGGCTATATATAGCACAGTGGTTTGCAACAGAGGACAGCTTTGCCCCTCTGGGAACATTTGGCAATGTCTGGAGACATTTTGGTTGTCACAGCTGGAGGCAAGGGAGCTACTACTACAAGGTACTACCTAGTGGACAGGAACCAGAGCTCCTACTAAAAATCCTGCGATGCACAGGACAGCCCCACAACAAAAAAGGCTTCAGGAGTTTAGGCTTTATTCTCTGTTATTACATGGAGGAACACGAGAAAGGTGTTTAGAAAGGCTAATATAGCTTTTATATACTGTTTCTTCTGCCTGGCACTTTTTATGGCTACCCACTTTTTATCCTTTGGGACTAAGCTTAAATGTTACCTACCAAAGAGATCTATCCAAAATTCCCAATCAAAAAGTTTTCTCACAGACTCCATACCACCCTTCTCTCCCATAGATGATCTCCTTTTTCTTCATAACTCTTACCACACTTTTGAATTGCATGTTTATTTGAGTGCTAGTTTAATGTCTGTCTCCTCATAAGCTCTGTGGAGGTAGAGACCTTCATTATTTGTCCATCACTGTGACCCCAACGTCAAGCAGAGTGCCTGGTGCATTTTAGTTGTTTCATGTGTAATCCATGGATCAATTTGAAGGTCAATGATTGGATTGAAATGGGGTTCAGCATAGAAGGATGGAAAGAGGAAAGACAGCAGTTCTCTGGATTTCTTCCCTGCTTGTTCTGATCCACGTTCATCTTCCTTCCCTGACTTTCATGGCACTTAATAGTTCATAACATGATGTACCAATTAGGGTTCAGGTGAAGATGCAGAAGAACCCTTCTAGCCTTCCTCTGACCACCCAGTTTTATACTCATAGTTTTTCTCTTCAGGAACACTCACTTCACTTGTAACCTCTTGTGTCACTGCCACTGGACTCCAAGTTGCATGAGAGCAGGCACCAAGCCTATTTGGTTTTCTCCTATCCCCAGCATCTAGCTCAGGACTGACACATAATAGATGCTTATTAAATATTTGTTGAATGAATGTTGAGCCTAGAAACTTTCATCCCCAAATAGTATTTATGTAATAATTAGTAATGATTTTCTACGTTGTTCAATGGCTTACCAAACACCTTTATAGGTGAGTGTCCCAAATTTGGGGGGAAAGATAGTGCAGGTAATATTATTTCCCCACTTTTCAGAAAATGAAACACCATCTATAAGGTTGACTTGTGTAGGGCAGTGGATCCAGCATTAGAATTCGAATGCATATGTGCATTAAAATTCTGACTGTAAACCTTGTCTCATACCAGCTGTTAACCAGATGCTCTGGCAGCCAAGTGAAATATGGGCAGCTAGTAGAAGAAAGCAATGGAAGGAACAGAGAGAAGCAAAAGCCAGCCCTCTGATGATTTTCCTTTTCTCCAGTGTCTACTTGCTACCTAAACAGGATTGCTCTGCCTGTCTTGGGAACTGAGACCCTCCAGTAGGATATACCTCTCTCAATGACTTGAGGGTGGGCTAGAGAGTTAGTGAGGCCAGCAAAGCCTTGCCTTCTGGGTAGGAGAGAGATGAGGGCTGGACAACAGGGTTACCTGTGTCCACACTATTATGTGTGTGTACACCCACATCCAGACAAAATCCACACCAACGCACAAGCGATATCAACGTACAGAATGAGCCATTGCACAATTACAGGTGCAACACAGACCTTATGCACATACACACAAATACGTGTTTATGCACATTCACACACATTTAAACATGCACCCAGCACACAGATATCTAGCCACTAGGTGTACATCCAGTGACTGAAGTGCACTTCAGTTATACACCAAGCTGCCATCCTGGACATGTGCATACCCAGGCCCTGATGAACATCTGGGTAAGTGCAATTATGCACGCACACACACACAACTAAACACGTACATACGATCCATAATCTCTCTCAACTTACAGACACGTTTAGTACACAGGGAAATGTATTCTTGTAAGCTGCCATGCCTACACACACTCCAAAGATCCACAGTGAGATAAACCCTCACATGCGCACAGACAGATTCTCTTCACATGCACTCGTACTGACACCCTTTGCAAACGCACGGGGAAACTCTTGCACAAAACCTTCAAACACACTGGCGAGCTTTGCACGCAGAGAGATGCATCGACACAGCCAAGTCGTCACCAGCACTGTAAGTTTTTTCCAAACCGCCACGGGCCGGCCCACGTGACCGGGAGGAGGGCGCTCCCGCCCATGACGGGATGGGAAAACTATGCCTGGGGCCGGCGCTTGGCCCGGCGGCAGCCGCTGCGCAAGGCGGGGACGCGGAGCATTAGGAGCACGGCCGGCCGAGAGCTTCCTCGCCGCGACGACCCTGGACGTGGCCGGCAGCAGCGAGGGTAAGTGCCCTGCACGGCGGTGCCGCCCGGGCAGAAAGTGCGCGCGGGGAGGGGGAAGATACGCGGTACCCGGGCGGCGGCTGGGGGCGGGGAAAGCGGAAGGGGTGAGTGCAGCGAGCGCCCCCTTATTGCGGGCTGGGCGGCGTTCCTTATGAATTATAACATGAATTAACATTTCTTGAGTGCTAATTGTGTGCCAGGCTCTATGCTCAGTGATTTACCCGTTAGGACAGTGATACTTGTAGCTCTCCCATTTATTGAGCTCCTACTTTGTGCCAAGCTCTGCCAGCAGTTTACTTGCGGGCTCTTTCGTTTTCGTGGCAACAGGTTGTCCCCCCATCTACAAACGAGGAACCGGTCTCAGAGGCATTAATGACATGCCCAAGGTTGCACAGCTAGCAACTGATGATAAAGGGACTAGAACCCTGGTAAGGGTAAGAGCAATACCCGAGCTAACAACAGTAGTTAACATTTACTGAGTGTATTATCTCATTTACTCTTCACATTTCTTTAATTAAATACATTATACAGTCAGGCAAACTGAGCTCAAAAGGTACTGAATGGCAGGCAGGCAGAGATTTGCACCCAGTTCTTTACAACTCTCTGCACTCTACCTCCTGCCCCAAACTGCTTGTCTCCAAGCCTTGTATGAATATGCTTTGTTCTTGTTTCTGCATCCCCGCTGCCACTGCCCCAGTTACAGCACCTTGTCTCTCAACTGAAGTACCGCAGTGGTCCCTACTGGTCTCCCAGCCCAGATCTCTCCCCTATCACTATGAGACTTTTTAAACAGCCTTGGTGTCATTCTCCTCTGCTCTTTGACCACAGACTTGCCTTGCTTGGAACCCTTCAAGGGTCCCTTCCTTAGACTGGCCACCTCTCAAAGATCCTGTGTTTCTGCCAGGTTTCTGCCAGCAGCAATAGTGATGACTGTCTTATACGTGTCAACCCAAGGCTGATGCTCAGTTAGTATTGTTAAAAATCTGTCGTCTCCGATGGGGCGCGGTGGCTCACGCCTGTAATCCTAGCACTCTGGGAAGCCCAGGAGGGCGGATTGCTCAAGATCAGGAGTTCGAGAGCAGCCTGAGCAAGAGTGAGATCCCATCTCTACTAAAAATACAAAGAAATTAATTGGCCAACTAAAAATACTAAAAAATCAGCTGGGCATGGTGGCGGGGGGGGGGGGGGTGGAGCATGGCATCCCAGGGTCCCCTCGGACGGAACAGCAGGCAGAAGCAAAGATCAAGTCTCCCTAGACTCTCATCTGGTAGCAACTGACAGAGACACAGCTCACGCTAATTTAAATGAAAATGGGGCCAGCTCTAGCACTCTGGAGGCGAGGCGGGGCAGATTGCTTGAGGTCAGGAGTTTGAAAACCAGCCTGAGCAAGAGTGAGACCTGTCTCTACATAAATAAGAAAGAATAATTGGCCAACTAATATATATATATATAAATTAGCCGAGCATGGTGGCACATGCCTGTAGTCCCAGCTACTCGGGAGGCTGAGGCAGGAGGATCACTTGAGCCCAGGAGTTTGAGGTTTCTGTGAGCTAGGCTGATGCCACGGCACTCACTCTAGCCTAGGCAACAAAGTGAGACTCTGTCTCAAAAAAAAAAAAGGAAGAAAGAAAATGAGGATTGACTAGAAGATATAGGGGCCTCTGCCTGAAAAGCCACAGGACTCCGGGTGGGAGGTCAGGACTGTTTTTGTTAGTTCAGCTGCAGTTAGTGATAATTACAATTTTAAGCAGGTCTTACATTTTTTATCATGTTTTACTTTCAACATCCATTATCTTGTTTGATTTTCAGAAGAGTTAAGATATGATAAAATAATAGTAGAAAATGCTTTTATACCTCTGACCATATTCCAAGCCTTTTTCTAGAAACATTTGATCCTCATAATAACCCTCTACGGTCGGTACTATTATTACCATCCCTATTTTGGAGAGGAGGAGACTGAGGAACAGAGGATAAGTAACTTGTAAAAGGTCCTTCTACAGCTAGTTTGTGGGATTTGAACTCAAGCTGGAGCTAATATAATAGCCACTGTGTGGCTATTGAGCGCTTGAATGTGGCCAGTTTGAATTGAAATGTGCTGCAAGTGCTAAAATACATCAGTGGGCTTCAAAGACTTAGCGCTAATTAAAGAACGTAAAATGTCTCATTAATAAAATTTACATTGATTGCATGATTTGGAAAATATTGGGCTAAATAACATTAAGATTAATTTCACCTTCTTTTTACTTTTTTTTTTTTTTTGTGAGACAGAGTCTCACTTTGTTGCCCAGGGTAGCAGAGTGAGTGCCGTGGCATCAGCCTAGCTCACAGCAACCTCAAACTCTGGCTCAAGTGATCCTCCTGCCTCAGCTCCCGAGTAGCTGGGACTACAGGCAAGCGCCACCATGCCTGGCTAAGTTTTTCTATATATTTTTATATAAATTAAGTTAATTGGCCAATTAAATAATTATTAAATTATAATAAATTAAATTAATTGGCCAATTAATTTCTTTTCTGTTTTTAGTAGAGACGGGGGTCTCACTCTTGCTCAGGCTGATTTCAAACTCCTGACCTTGAGCGATCCCTGCCCGCCTCGGCCTCCCAGAGTGCTA